AAAATGAATAAAACAGTGCTTATTATGATCATCATCTTCACGACCCTGTTGCCTGCGTTGATGTTTTCCTCAGCGACCCTTTTCACACCTCTTTCGTTCCAGGTAAAAACACAAGCTCGATCTTAAAAATGTCGAAAAAAAACACCAATTTTTTTTATCAATATTTTTAACTGGTTTTTCTTGGTGGGTTTGATCTGAAGGTGGTCTTGGCCTTACCTGCAATTCGGGGGGTGAAATCGACGGCGGAGATGAAATAAGCCAAGAAATCGGGGCTCAAAGCCAAAAGCGCGAGGAGCCCATCGCCGGAGATTGGAGGGGACACCACTCGCCGGCGCCGGAAAACGGGAAACAGAGAAAAAAATCGAATCTTGCTGCAGGAAATCACGGCACACGAAGCAATTCCTGTTCCCAGAAGTTATCGAGAAAGGCCATATCTCAGTATTTCTACATGCCCATAGCGAAGGCGGCGAAGGAGATGAACGTCGGCGTCACCCTTTTGAAGAAAAGGTGCCGGGAGCTTGGGATTCCCCGGTGGCCCCACCGGAAACTGATGAGCCTGCAAACCCTGATCAACAATGTCCAGGTTCTCTCTCTCTCTCTCTCTCTCAACAAGTCCTTATCTGTGATGCAGTTTGTGTTTATCGAATTAATTAATAATCTCTTAAAGTTCAAATTTTTAATCCTAATTAAAGATTCTTGAGACATAGGATTGATTTTTTTAATTAAGAGCCCTAATTGGTGATGTACTTATTGTTGGCATTGATAATTTGCTGTTAATTTATATTTTTTATTGGATTGGTTAACATGCAGTGTGTCTTGAATTGATCTCTTAAATTCAAATTTTCAGTCCTAATTAGAGCTTTCTTGAGACTTAGGAATATAGGATTATTTTTGTTAAAAGCCCTAATTGGTGATGTAGTGCTAGTTGGAATTGATATTTTGGTGATGAATTAGTGTTTTTTTAGTAAATCGGTTATATACTTAGTATTAATTAATATACAGTGTGTTTATTGAATTCATCTCTTAAAGTTCAAACTTCTAGTCCAATTTAGAGCTTCTTTGAAGTTAATAGGATTGATTTTTGTTAAGAGCCCTAATTGGTGATGTAGTGCTTGTTGGCATTGTTAATTTGGTGACTAATTAATGTTTGTTTTTAGTAAATTGGTTATATATATATTTAGATTTATTAATTTACTTTACATGGTACATTATAATGGATCCAAAAAGAGGACGTTATAGCTTTATAGGGTGACAGCAAAAAGCAACATTGTGTTTGTGCACTCTGTGGCAGATTTCAGGAGCACTCCTAACAAATTGTACAACTCTAATCAGGATTATGACACGTGTAAGAAATCTGAGCCAGCACACATTTAGTGTTGTTCGAAATAAAAAAAAATCCAACTTATGAAAAATGAATTATGTATGAAAACATTGGTTGTGCTTAATTTTACTGTTCCAACATAGTTTTGTTAACCCCCAACTATTTCAGATCATAATTAGATAGAAATTTCAAATCTTATATTTTAAAATTTCGGGTGGCAATCCTAGTGGGTCTAGTCGGTTTTTGATTGGGCCCAGACTTGTATATTCGATTCTGAATTTGGCCCAAAACTCTAGTTAATAAGTCTGGCCCGGTTGGTCAACGGGCCTAACCAGTGGCTGTATCTACATACATCCATGAGTAAAGTCTTCCATTCTTTTTTT